TGTACTGGATTGAGAATCAAGTAGCTCAGGCTTAAGTACTGGCTGCCGCTGGGTTCAGGATGCTGTGTTGCTGGCCGATATACACTTTACTCTCACAGTGCGTCTATCCACCTTGATGTATATGATTGTGAAAATGAGTACAGGCAAAATATAACAGATGTATGGGACACAGAAAAGTATCTTACATTGTGGGCCATTTTGATCGGGGTCTTCATGGGTAGTACCAGGCCTAGTGATGAAAAAGGTTAAAATTGTTCTTCACTCTCATTTGACTTGTCTTTGATGTTTCTCTTTGTACAGCTGTGTGAGTTATGTTCCTGAGCCAGAGGATAGCATGTTGTTGAAGACTGCTCTGAATATTTTTAGAAAGTTTGATCATCAACCAGAAGCCATGAAGCTGGCCATCCATTTAAATGATGTTGAGCTCATCAAGGACATATTTATTTCTTGCACTGGAAGGTAGATTGTAATCAAAAAAGTAATAATAAAGTTAAATTTTTGGAGTCTCATTACATGCCATGAAGAGGGTATTCTTCCACAATAATATTAATTGTTTTTTTTTCATTTGAACCCCCCTCTGGAAATTCCAATGTAGCTTCATCCTTTCCTTTTTTTAAGAAAATTAAATGAAAACATGTACTGTGTTATACATGTAGAAACACGAGTGGAAGTTTGGGAGAATGAGAAATGCTGTGGGAAACCGAGCCAACAGGCGAGTGTTTCCATAGTTTTTACAAGTTCTCCCAAACTTTCAAATGTGTTTCTGTAAGTCAATAGATGCGGAGAGGATGTGTGTTCTGTTTATTAGAGAAAATTCCGCAACAAAAAAGTAAACAAATTGTTTACTTTGATTATCAAAATGTGAATTCTCTTTTCTCATGCCATCATAACATCAACAGCTTGTGCTAGTTGTGTGTTTGTATCGAGTTATAGAAACACAATTTGAAACCAATCAGTTCACATATCTTCTTTTGGCTATTTTCTAAATACATATAATTATAGCTGAAGCTCCATTGATCAGTCACATATTAAATGGTCCACATTATTAAGTGGCCACTTGTCAAAGTCCTGAAGTTGTTGTTAGTACAGTACTATTTCTACTACATTTCTATGCGTGATACATGTAGTTGACTCCGATTGCACCCTCATCAACTACTGTATACGTATTACAGGATAGAAATCTTGAGTGCATAATCTACTTGCAGAGTGATTGATGCATTGTTTAATTTTTTCTTTTGTCATATTGCAGTGACGAGAAGAAATTAATTCAGAAACAGATGGCTTTCATGTTGGCCAGACAACAG